CATTCGGCGCATATGTAACCCTGATACTATGGAGGATGAGTTTCATCTTTTGAGGACAATCCTAATAGAAAATGGGTTTCCACCACGCTTTATAGACAAGAAAAAACAGTAAAAACCTGTGAAATGTGATTTAACATTTGTAACCAAGACAATACTGTACATGAGCTTGGAATTCAAAGGGGACTTAGCTTCCGATATTATGAAAAGAAGGATATCGCAGTCCCTGAAAAGAACATTCCCTGCTGCATCTCTGAGAATAACCTTCACTAGTCGACCATTACTGTTCAAAAACCTGAAGGATAAGATTCCACAGTAGACCAACTCTGTATGCGTTTATCAATTCATCTGCTTGTGTGGAGCTAGGTATATCCGTCGTTCAACTCAACTTTTGTTCAAGAGGGTGCAAGGACACTACCTTGCATTGTTAAGAAGAGGTGGAAGTGGAGCAATAAGAAGCGCGATAATTGAACATCTGGTCGATAATGCTCACCCTGTCTCTATAGCCTCCGCCTTTAAAGTCATCTAGAAGGCAAAATGTAATTTACGGAAATCCCTACGTACCCGACTCATCTGTATTGCTAAAGCCATCTTTGGCTATCGAAACAGAAAAGCCAGATCTCTGTCTACAGAAAGAGTTCGTTCAACACTCCAACTTTCATGGTCTTAATCCCCGTATGCTAAAGTATGGTAATCACTGATCATATTTTGGGTCTACCAATTTTTCTCGATTTGTCTATTCAACTTCCTTACTCTTCCTTTATTACGTCAATTGTTACTAATCTCATTTTGAACTATCACTTTAGAGTGTTCTAGAATTCGCAATAGTTTTATGAATGTAATTGAATTTTTGATTTTCCCGTCGATTGATTCGACCGAAGTGCTCGGTCTCAGGTTGACATGTCGGCTTCTTGTTCAGATGCTTCGATGATGTCTGCGCATTTAATTAGTACCACTGAAAACCAGGGAGTACTGGAAAGCCGCTGTTTCATCCTAGTTTGGGAACCATCGGCAGTACGCACCCACTGGGATTCGAAACCGGGACCTACCGGTTACAAGGCAAGCTCGTATACCATTCAGCCACTGGGACCCGATTCAATGGCTCGTCAATTCTAACTTCTACTAATTCGTGATTTAGCGCCACCCCAACTATTGTCGTTGGTGGGACATCCATCCACACACGTGACATCTAATTGGACCTCACTGGTCACGACTTCTCACTAGAACTCAGGAAACTCCAACCTGTAGCAAGTCACTAGCGAGCATCAGATTAACTTCCTATAGTTTGGTTTGTAAGGATTAGTTATGTTTTACGGGTCCCGGGTTCGAATCCCAGTGGGTGCGTACTGCCGATGATTCCCAAACTAGGATGAAACAGCAGCTGTCCAGTACTCCCTGGTTTTCAATGGTTCTCTAACTGATAATAATCCGTGATCAACCCGTGAAACATTACTAATCCTTACAAACCAAACTATAGAAAATTTACTCATGATAAATTGTTTAAATTAATCCCAGCGTGTTAAGAAAATCAAAACAAGATTTTTCTGAACGTTTCGCCGTGTAAGCCACAGCTTCTTCAGCAGATTTATTCGGATTATAATTAATCATCAAAATATATAGTCAAAATTTTTTTTTACATAAAATGAAGTCAGTCTATTTGAAGGTCATTTGTCCATGGACATTTTTTACCAATAGAAGTATGTAAGCTGTCCTCACATATATTTGTAATGACTAATGTCAAATTGTTGTTGTGTTTACTCTTCTATAGTTGATTTGTAAAGATTAGATTTGTATGCGTAGCAAACTTATATATGAAAGCCTTAGAAAAGAAAGCATTGACAAGTCTTAGCTGTCATCCTAGAATATGGTACAGATACGTAGATGACACATTTATTGTCATAAAGAAAGCTGAAAAAAGAAGACTTTTTAACAGAAATTAACTTTATCTCAGAATATATTGAGTTTACGAATGAAGTAGAATCGGCGGAGGGAACTCTAAACTTTCTTGATTGTCTTGTAAAAAGACAAACTGACGAGAAACTAAAGTTTACCATATACAGAAAGCCGACACATTCCAATAAGTATTTGAATTTCCAATCAGATCATCCAATAGGAATGAAAGTCTCAGTAGCTTTAAATCTCTTTAACAGAGCTAGAAACATTATAACTGATAATGACGATATGGAGAAAGAGATAACCAATATAAAACAGATTTTGATTGGAAATGGTTATCCTGAAAAGCTACTAGATAATATCATCAATAGAAAGGAGCATAGAGAAAAACAAAAAGTTGAAAAATCCTGGCTATCGACGATAGCCATTCCAAATCGAAAAGACACAGCTGAACAACTTCAAAGATTATTTGCTGCATATAATATTAAAGTCTATGTCAAACCTTCTAATTCTCTAGAGAAAGCGTTAGTGCATGTCAAAGATATAGTTCCCAAAATGTCACAAAGTAATTGTGTCTACAAGATAAAGTGTTCAGAATGTGAGGCATGCTATATAGGGGAGAGCAGCAGGCTGGTGAAAGTCAGAATGAATGAACATAGACTTTGCACGAAACGTCCACCTAGAAATGAAGTAGAATTAAAAAGTCTAGAAAAAAGATCGGCTATAGCAATACATGCGATAGACAGCGGACATAAGATTGATTTTGACAATGTCGAAATTCTTGGAAGAGGATTTCATTTACATAAAGAAAGATTGACTTCAGAAGCCTTGCACATTTTAACCACATCAAATGCAGTGAATAGGAAAGAAGGTATAGACTTATCACCTATATGGCAAACTCTTATGAAGCAAGACAAATGAAAAAACAACAAACACTCAATGAGCCTCCATGACCTTTAAAACATGTAGTGACACGTTTATCACATATGAATTCACGTATTTTCCATATGACAAATAACATACATACACACACACGAATACAAATCTAATCTTTACAAATCAACTATAGAAGAGTAAACACAACAACAATTTGACATTAGTCATTACAAATATATGTGAGGACAGCTTACATACTTCTATTGGTAAAAAATGTCCATGGACAAATGACCTTCAAATAGACTGACTTCATTTTATGTAAAAAAATTTTGACTATATATTTTGATGATTAATTATAATCCGAATAAATCTGCTGAAGAAGCTGTGGCTTACACGGCGAAACGTTCAGAAAAATCTTGTTTTGATTTTCTTAACACGCTGGGATTAACTTAAATAATTTATAATGAATCAACCCGACTCGGCGCTCAAATTATTCCAGGAAATTCGTAACACCTACGGTCTGGAAACCTATAATATAGAAAATTTAATTAGTATTTAATTGGTGGATGATGACTTGCAGTGGAATCCAGGATGCGCATTCAGTCCTAATTGGGACTCGTCGGGAAAATCAAAAAAATTCAATTAAAATTAATATGACCCGTTGCATAAGAGGTGGCACTCGTGACCCCCAAGTGGTCTAGTGGATAACACTTTGGCATTTGAAATTACGGGCACTGGGTTCGAGCTTCGGAGGGAACACCATCACTCACTGAGAAACGTAAGTATATCCAGGTGACGAGTCCCAAATAGGACGAAATGCGCGTCCTGGATTCCACTGCTAGTCACCGTCCACCAATTAAATACTAGGCTTTATGAATTATATTGAAACAGATCAAATCCCCGAAGAATCAACACATACGCGGACAAAGATTGCTAGTCAACTTTCTATGAGAGTGATGAACAAACCAAACTCCAAACCTCTCATCCTTTTCGGACTTTATTTTATTATTATTCCTTTGTGTTCCCAGTGGAACATAGGGCTTCCAGCTAGAGGCTTGAAGTTTCAGCAGCAGTGGTGTTTTTTACGGGATTGCGTTGCCAGTCTTTCACTTAACCTTCCATCATTACCACCGACAAGACGAGGTAGAGGAGTGCGTCGGCCGGGGCTCGAGCCCCGGACTATTTGTGTAGTCAGCCCGGTTTCTACAATCAACTTAAAATGACTTAGGTGTACATTGGTCTCGAATCAAACCCAGACCACCCGCGTGGTGAGCGAATATTTTACCATTGCAATTCCATACGGATACATCGAAATAGTATGAAGTATTCGCAGACGCAGGGTTCCGGAATGACGACAGAATAGAAAACACTTACTGAACGTATTATCCAAGAAGCTTCTAGTCGGAGTCCATCCCATTGGCTAAATGTTCGATGGGTTGTCCATGTAAATGCAAAGTCCTAAGTACGATTCCCGGTGGATTCATGCGTACGTACTACTGAAGTGACAGATAACGAGGAGATATTACATCTATTGATAGCCATCTCCAAATTAACAGTTAGTCACAATTAAAATAAGTAGTTGAATAGGTTAGATACCAATCTCAAATGCAGAGGAACTTGTAGGGTAGCGAATCCAATTTCTAACAAACGACAAGAGCCCGAGTAACTCAGTAGTTTCTGACTGCAGCATTGGGTGAACCGAATTCAAATTTCAGGAGAGATATATTAGCTGACATAGGATGGATCAGGTTGGAAAAGAGGAAACTATTGGTAGTGAAACCAAAATATGACTTCATCAATCAATGAAATCCATAACAGTTAGACTTCCTGACTGGGGTCTTCGGGACGGTAAAAACCAATGAAAGCTGGAGACTGAAAGTGATCGTTCTAAATGACCGGTGCAGATGCATCCACTCCTTGTGACTTATAATATCCAATAAAACTATATCGTTCTTCGATATTACCACTATTCTTTTTGCCTCATATCTCTGTTCACTAGCTCTATTTTGCGTTTCTTTTCACTTTCTTCTCTTGCTTTATGTGCTATGTGAAGGGAGTCTGGCGATTCGAACTGCTGCACATTTGTGCAGAGTAGTTCTATTTTGGAAGCAGTCAGTCAGTCAAAGAGAAACAAAGCCCAGAATACCCTACACACACACACACACACACACACACACACACACACAATATCGTGCAAGAAGAGGGGAACAAGTTGAGAATAAGAACACTAAAAATACAAATAATTTAAAATTTTATTTTGAAACTGGGAGTGTATTTATACAAAGGTTGTTGGTGTTGGCGTGGTAGGAGGAAGAAGAGAGCGAAGAAGAGGAAATTGGGGGGGCGGTGAAAGGGAGGGAGTTATATCATGGGGAGTACTATTCACATTTTTAAAAATTCAGCATTTCACATAATCTCATTTCATATTATAATAATGATAACAGGGATAAACCTGTACCTGTGTAGGAAACAAAACAAGTGAAGGTAAGAAAAGTGCTGTGAAAGTATCCCCCACAAGATAACAGCAACAAAAACAGTAATAACAATACCATCATCATTGATTCTCTAGTCAAGGGGAACTGCGTCGTTTACGTGAACTGCGAAGTAATGATTCTAGAGCACGTTGACGTAGAACTTCTTCAACTGATTCACGACGTTCCATTTTCTACAAAATCAAATTCAGAAAGAGAGAAAAAGATGAAATTCAATTCGGAAAATAACACAAATGCATACAAGATAGACATATATATATATATATATATCAAAACAGCTACCAAAATAGTCAAATATGCATGTCAAAAGGTTTGATAACATTCAAATAACTAAAAGCATGCTTCTAGTGCTTTGTTTGGTACAGACTGGATTCTATTAGTGGCTATCATGCTACATAACAGCTCGGCTCGTCATCACAGAGCACTCTGAATTGCTGTTATCAGATGGTTAAGGTTAGGGGATCTAGCAGGAAGCCCTGCTTTTTGACCTAGAGGTTTCATGCTTGCTGGCATACTCATACACCAGTATCATCCATCTTGATACAACTCATATCCCTTTTTTCTCTGAGATTCAAACCTGAGTCATCCCCAGTGCTAAATCAGAGACTGACCTTCTCGTCCTCCTACAGGACTGTAAGAAATGGTAGGAGCTAAATGTTATGCGTCTTGTGTGTGTTTGGAAACGACACGTAGGAGTTTGTGTGACATAGCTTACGCGTCTATATTATCGACTCCGTTCAGCAGTTGGAAGGAGGCTAACATTCATCATCATGTAAGCAATTCTACTCCAAGAAGATAACTTGGAATTTTATTGCAGAATATGAGATATCAGCGGTGGTAATAACCCTCCGCCCATCTCACCTCCAGCTCAAGGAACCTTCATAACTTCACACTATCCAACCCACCTTACACCCCCCGCATCGATGAACAATCAACTGTTGGTAGGGAACTCTTAGGTTCAAGATAAATGTAGAGCTCTCAAATACTAAAACCATCACACGACATACATGAAACACATGGTTCCCCTTGATGATATAACACTTCAAGCATATATACATCAAGAGGATTTAATACTGAGCAAAAAGATACTGAGAGAAATAGTGAGTCAAACATTTGAAAAACAGTAATCCTAACGACATATAAAAAAGCCGTGAGCAAAGCATTTAAAAGAGTAGGTAGTGTGTGTGTGTGCGTTGAGGCATAGGTTCTATTGTTTCAAAAGAAATAACAAGAAGTGGTTAGCCGTACAGAAGAAAATGAGCATACACTAATACATAATGAAGCAAAGACTGGACGAGTGTCGCTCATCACCACATAATCCTAAGCAGCAGAATTTCCTGCTTACTAGTACACCACCACTACCCTCCGCCCCGTTCAGCCGCCTAACAGCAGGCTGACATAGGGCTACCAAATTATAAGAAACTAAAGTGGAACAAACATATATATCTACCTTATTATTAGAGCTAGGAATACTAGGAGGTAGAGCAGGACCCTCTGGAGACAAGTGATTTTTTTCATGAGTTTTAGCATGCTGTTTGCCATTCTTTTTAGACTTGACACGTTTCTGACTGGGCTCATCATCATCGTCACTTTCACTACTACTATTACTACTACTACGGCTACTACTAGAACTACTATCCGAACTACTATCATCACTACTGCCACTAGAACTTGATCCGGATCCCTCATTATTCTCATCATCATCACTGGAGGATCCTGAAGACGCTGAACTTGGCGACGACGATCCAGGATGAACTGGGTTTTCTGACCACTCCATAGTTTGTTCAACGGTTGGAGGGAGATCAGGACCTTCAGGTTGAGTTGGACACACCAGCTCCGGTGGTAAGGCAGGACCTTCAGGAGTGGGTTCCCTGGTTGGAATTTTGACTTTTGGTGGTGGTTGTTCAATCTTAGCTTGAGGAGCTTCACCATCATCATCATCATCACTGTCGTCACTACTGCTTCCACTGCCGCTGCTGCCATCACCGCCACTGGAACTCCCACTACTGCTAGAACTGCTGCTGCTACTGCCGGTAGTAGAACTTGACGAACTACTTGAAGAAGACTCGGACACCTTTCGTTTTGAACGCTTGGTAACGACGCCTGAAAAAATCAAATCAAAACAGAAATGATTTCGGCACGATGCTAACAAAAATATACACAATGTGTTCTTAAATAATATTTAAAACTTAAGCATGCATGGCCTTTAATTAAAGCGATGGGGGGGGGGTAGGGAATGGAAATCACAGTTACACCATCTATATAACAAGAGTTGGTTTGTAGGGATCAGATTTGTTTGATCACGGATTGATAACAGTTAGAGAACCATTGAAAACCAGCACTGGACAGCTGTTTCATCCTAATTTGGGACTCATCGACAGTACGAACTCACTTTCAGGGTTTGAACCCAGCAACTTTTGATTACAAGGCAAGCTCGTATACCAATTAGCCACTGGGACACGACTCGGTGGTTCATTTATTCTAACTTTCCCGACTGAGTGTGAATTTATTTAGCGGCTATTTTGTCCCATTACATGAAGGCGCTTCACTTATCTAGGGAGCATTGTCTCAACTACAGGAAGTCGGAACGGACGAGGATGTCAAATCGAGCGAGAATCGAGAAGGCGAGTAACGCACACATTCATCAACCTGAAAACAATCTAGAAATCTTCACTACTCAGCATCAACAACAAAATTCATTCGGATTTTCAATACAAACAACGTCAAGTCAGTCAGTTCTTCTATACGAATCAGAAACTTGACAAGCGGGTCACAAAGAATACTTCCAACAGCCTGTTGCAGACATTTATCAAAAACTGACTGTCTTCGCTGGCTCTATACTGAAGATCAGATCAGATGGCCGGGCCGAAATGAATCACCGACAAGAAACTATGGGAACAAACAAACAAAACAAGAACCAATCGCCAGACAACAAATATGCAGGAGAAAGCGGATATGGATTGGACACTCTATGAGGAGGCCGCTGGGCGACATCGCACGCGCGTCAGGTCATCGGTCGAGTGGGACCAGGTCGAAAGGTAAACACGCGGCGAGTGGGACGTCAGTGCAAGGGTGACATGGAGGAGATCGTGTGAAGAGGAGTTGAAACAGTATAGACTAAGATGGATGCAGGTGAAAAGTACAGCAGAAGTAGCAAGTGGAGACATGCAGTTGGAGCCCTATGTTCCAGTAGGAACCCAAGGGAACAATAATAATAATACATGAAGGCGCACACACAGGTGGACACATATTCAACCGTAAAATTTGAGTTCAAATTGACAATAATTTCCTCTGATCACAAGCAAAAGTCGCATAAATACAACTGTGAGAGATTCGTGTTGACTCTCATTAGAAGTGGGGGAAAATAGCGAAAAAAACACAGAAATTGATCAGTCTTGTGCATTGCACTGAGATATGAGAACACTGACTGACTGATTGAGTTTCTTATGAGAACAATTACGACTAAAGCCTAATAATTTGATAACATGGTATATACTTAGTCACTTAGTAGACCAACTGAAGTAACAAACCCTGACACATGTCATTGTAAGCACAGACAACTGAACGAGTCGCATAACCTCATAACTTTCCCGTCCTGATTAGTGATTTGCATTTGAGCAAATAAATAGTATGTTAAAAATACTAACACAATATTATTCGTATTATTAAGTAGTAATAATGTGGTGAGAGCTGGCTGCTAGCCAAACTGGTAGACAGTAATTTACGTCAATGTTTATGTCCACAATATTGGTCATGTGAAAACAAGAACAAAGACTGACTCAACAACCAACCAATCACAGCAGACTTTGCGTAGGCGGATACAATTAGCTGACAGATAACCTGACATTCAAGAAACAGCCACAAAGAGATGAAAGATTAACTTTTAGTGAGAAACAACCAATCAGAAGACTATGTTTATCTGCTAACAATAATGTATAATAAATGTGCATGAAAATCTATAAATATGTTTATTTTCTGAATAGACGATCTGTTGCCTGATCTTTGTCTTCTGTTGTTACAATAGTACGATCAGCAATCGTGAGTTCAGGCGTAGTATGGGGTAACGAAGGAAAATGAATCGATAAGGTTGTGAACCTACATCGACTGAGATGACGAGGACATGTGTTCTGCATTGAAAGTCACTTTCCTCAAAAAGCAATGTCGGTTGACATAGGATTCAGTTTAAAAAGAAGTTAAGGCAGAGCCAGACAGAAATATGGCATCAATATATGAGGTTTTTGACTGTTGGTTGGAATCACGTAGGGTCCTTGAGACGTTGTTGATGTCATGACTGAAAAAACATTTCTCAATGGTGCAGATGTATGCAGGTTTTGTGAGCTCCCGAATTCCCTTAAACCTTCATTATTCTCACATGCACTTATTATTATTCTGTCTGTCTATCTGTTTTCGACATAGAACTTTGCACCGATGTGCAACAGTTCAAGTCGACACACTCCCTCTATGTATCACACAAAGCAAGAAAAGAAGAGAAAGTAGAAGAAATGCATAATAGAGACAGTAAGCAGAGGTGTGAGACAAAGGAAGAGTAATAACGAAGAATAAAACAGTTTCATTGGAAATCATAAGTCACAAGGAGTGCATGCATTATTATTATTATTAGTGTGTCACAGTATCCGTGCATGGGTATTCCCTCTACCTTAATGTAAGATGGTGCGTCAGTGGGTTAGCGGTGGGATGCTCACCAAGCACGCGTGTCGCCCGGGGTTCGATTCCCGACAGACGCTTTTCTAAGACCGATGAAGAGGGAAGATTGGACATAAACATCACAGCTACCGACACTTTAAAGTTCTAGATTGAAGCCCTATGTTCTACTGGGAACGTAAAGGAATAAAATAACGTAAGATGATATGAAATGTAGTGACCTGAACTGCTGGACTTTTGTGCAAAGGTTTACGTTGAAAATTTCAATCCCAGTATTCGAAACTGAATATAGTGACTGAGTTGCATTAACTGCTACTACTGATTTCCACTGCACGAGTTTCTAAGCTGTGTTATGGCTCAAGACCGTTAACAATCGAGCAGGGTATTGTTCAACTCTTCATCACCTAGTGTCAGATACTAGAAATATTAATTAATCTTCATTTCTACTTTGTTTGAAACGATACATGCTGTGTTGCAGTCTCATTGGGAAGATGCACTACTCACTGAGGATTACATGCACATTCAGCCGACGAGTCCCACACAGGACTAAATGTGGTTCTATTAGATTCTACTGCTAGTCAGTCACCATCATCCAAACATTTGCATGATTGACTAGAACTAATGCACTTTAGTTCAAGACTATGCACTGATTCGTTCGCCAGTGTAGAGGATTGGTAGACTTCAACCTTCCACTCGAAATGCTCTTATGTAGCCATGAGTTTTATAGTCACTTCTTGATAAGTCCTATTAAATGCCATCGCGACGCATCCACCCGAGGTGTTCCTCACAAAAAGTGAAAAGATGAATGCAAAAGTTTGTCGTTAACAACAGGATTGGCAGACGTGTATATCTATCTAGTGGGAGCTAGAAAACCCTAATTTTAAGCCTACGCCGTGCACATAAGCTCCAGAATCCGGACGGAGAGAACTGCGTGTGAAAATGTTTCTGCCACCGGCAACCATGGGGACGCAGCTCCTCTGCCTTACGAACCACGCTGCAAGGCAAAGGTTCGGGGGTAGCCCTTTCGAAGACAACCGCCTGCTTCTGTCCAGGAGTCCGGGGAGTATCGCAACCCTCACACAAACCATGAGACAATATATGTGGCGTATAATGAGTGTTTTGTGTTTTAGTCAAATAATAAGTCATCCAATTTATTTGAGATTACTTGCGATATTAGGAGCCATTTCACTGGAGCTTTGAATCACCGCCGCCGCCAGAGTAGTGGATGACAAAGCGAATCAGAGTACCTGGGCGTTTATCCAAGCACCTGTCGCATACTAAAGCAAGTGCTCTACCATTTCAGGTAGTAATCCGACTCTTGATCACATTGTGTGTATCTCTCATTAAATTGGAATTTTTTATTTTTAAATACCCATCATTCTTCATTTTATTCATGTGGTACCGAGAAATTGAGGTACTTTGAATCAATGAGTGTCTTGTGTGCGATATCACACTACCACAGAGAAATTAAAACTATGTGCATTGGAAGAATGTGAATCTACCTCTACACACAAAGGATTCCAAGTGAAGATTCAAGAAATTTGGGAAAAACTCCACGCCAAAATACTTAGAACATCTAACAAGAATAATTACACAATGATTTCACACAAAGATCATCTCTGTAGGTTTTCTCACATGGCGATAAAAGACTGTACATATAATCTATTCATCAGTAAATTGGAATTCAGACAGAAATTATCACTACTTTATTTTCTCAACAACTTTCTGTGAAGCCAAAGCTGACTACTAAACACTTTCATTGCTCTACATTATTGCTGGCTGAGGGATTCGACAAACCCTAGCTCATGCATACACTAATTTGACACGAAATGTTATACACCCTTCACCACTTATGTGCTTTCATGTAGCCATGAGCCATACTTATTATTGTGATACAACCCGGTTGCCCAGCGCTTCCTCCAGTAGTAAACGGAGCGCGGGATTCAAAACTGTGGACTGACTGACTGACTGGTTTCAACAAGTGCACAAAAGTTCAAGTCACTACACTACTCTATGCAGCACAGAGAGGAAGACAAAAGAGAGAAAGATTAGAAAGAACGATAATAAGGTAGATATATGGGGGGGAGGAACAGTAACAATAAGGTTTAATAGATATGGCACAGATCGCAAAAGAGTGAATGCATATGCGCCAGCCATTATTGAGAACGATGTCGAGCTAGCTGTTTGCTTCTTAGGGCCCTGAAGACCCCAACCAGGCTATCTATACCGCCCTGTGTGACCGGTTGGTTTAAACTAACTGTTAAAGATTTCAAGGACTGATTCCATGTATTGGTTTGACCGCCACTAGCTTTCGCCTTTCCAACTTGATCGCTCCTATGTCAGCTAACATTACTCGTGGTGAAAGACGACGATGGCTAAGCAAGCATAACACACGTCCTAGTCATCTGAATCGAGGTAGCTTCACAACCTCTAAGATTGATCTTTTTTCCTTACCTAACACTTGACATTTAACCTCAGTATTACTTGCCCTAATATACCACCTAACATGGGAGGGGGAACATAAACACCTACGATTAAAGACAGCTTGCCTTTCATGTCTTGCACTTTGAATGGCCACGTCTTACAGCCACAGAGGAGGATGAAGCAAACTGGTGCGCAGTACATGTGTCCGAAACCTTGGACCCATTGGTTCAGAATCAAACGCTGACGACAACCACCCACACCTCCTCCATGAGTACAAATTAATCAAAAGTTTTTCTTAATAATGAACTTACTTTCGACGACTTTTACATCTGCTGGTCGCTTTGAAACAACTGGTGGCAATGAAGGACCCTCCGGACTTGGAAGACGATTTTCTTGACGTTTTGCCAAAGATGTATTACTGCTTCGCATTGGTGATATTTCCCTTTTTTCAGCCTGATGACGTCTGACATATGTATTAGCATCATCTTCCTCTTGTATGCGATGTCGATTATAATCTCTGACAGATCGTTCTGATTCTCTAAGACGTGTACGACTTGATCGTGGACTGATGTTATGATTGTGTGACCCAGAATCATGCATGTGTCTACCACCAGAGGAACGATAGTCATAGTGATCAGGTGGGTCTGGACCCTCATATCTCCTATAATTTTCATCAAAACCATCTTTTCTTGAATGTTCTAAATAACCTGAACGTACATCTCTTTCATCTGTTTCTGGTATACCATGAGTCCGAGTATCCCCATCGTAACCATGTCTGTGAGATCGATGATCATCTGGAGACTTATGATGCGACTTGCGCGAACGTTTTCGTTTCTCGTGCTTTTTGGAGTGTTTATGACTTTTAGAGTGTTTTTCGTTTCCATAATAACTACTTTCAGGCATTTCTGGAGGACTACGACGTCGACCAGCCATAAGATCTTTCCTCCAGTCACCGACAGGTGATTTTCTATTTTAAAAGAAATAAAATTATGCTGATGAGCAATCCATCATCACACTCATGAATTTTGATACAATTTAAGATAACACAAAGCTTATTGAAACACGTTAATATCACGTGACCAAAAAGAAATAGCGACGCACTCTTCCAAAGCAGATCCCACTGAATATGTCAATGATGTGACCATTTCTGTCCCAGTAGTTTCTGCTTTAGATTGTTCTTGTATGAATAGATTATTATCTAAAGTTAGCAAATGTTCTAACTTAAATAGTCTTAAACTGAATCCATCTAAATGTCATATTGTTGATTTTAATTTCAGATGCGAACAAGACATCAGTGGACTGCTGTTCCGATCCGATGATTCCTGTAATATTCACGGGACTGTGATAGAGAGTAAATCGAATATCTTATTATCTCAGCATCAATTTCTCTGAGGATCTCTGTTGGTCGTGTCTCATATCCTGTTGATTTTTAAGAAAAAGTTTCGTCTCACTTATTACTACATAAAGAAGTCGGGTCTTTCTGGCATAGTTCCAACTCTCCTCTTACAATTTATTAATTCATGTATTCTACCCATTCTTTATTGTTCGACCCTTATTCTTCCCTGAACTCAAAAAAGACTGTCATATTGTCGTGAGAGGTGGCTGCTAGCCAAATTGCTAGATAATAATTTACGTCAATGTTTACGTCCACAATATTGATCGTGAGAAGAGAACAAGAACAAAGACTGACTCAACAACCAACCAATCACAGCAGACTTTGCGTAGGCGGATACAATTAGCTGACAGATGACCTGACATTCAAGAAACAGCCACAAAGAGATGAAAGATTAACTTTTAGTGAGAAACAGCCAATCAGAAGACTGTGTTTTTCTGCTAACAAAAATCTATGACAATGTACATGAAAATCTATAAATATGTGTTGATTTCCTTAATAAACGATCTGTTGCCTAGGAAATGTCTTCTGTTGTTACAATATAAGGCAGAACATTGAAGGCTGTGAGTAGGGTTATTGGTGAGCATTTGACTCAACTAACTGGCTAATTGTAAAAAATTATATTTGTAAACTCTCAGCGAGGCTGAAATAATTAATTCCAACGTTTCGTTCGGCAATCTGGTCCGAACTTCTTCAGGGAAATTAATCGAAATTAACATAACAGAGGTTCATATATAAAAGGAAAATCTCTTGTTTTTGAAACTTTGTCCATTCATGAGTCATGAAACAGGCATCAACATGTATTATAAACAAAATTGTACGAGTTGAGATCAAAATTCGATCTCGGACTTTTGATCACAACTCGTACAATTTTGTTTATAATACATGTTGATGCCTGTTTCATGACTCATGAATGGACAAAGTTTCAAAAACAAGAGATTTTCCTTTTATATATGAACCTCTGTTATGTTAATTTCGATTAATTTCCCTGAAGAAGTTCGGACCAGATTGCCGAACGAAACGTTGGAATTAATTATTTCAGCCTCGCTGAGAGTTTACAAATATAATTGTTTACAAATGTTTACTTCTCACTCGGCGCCCAAATATTTTAGAACTATTCTGTCAAATCTTGACGATAGTTCATTTGAATAACTGGCTAATTGTTGTTGATGGCTATTTTAATTTGTGCAAGCAGCTGGCTGAAGCAATTACGTCTGATACCAAACATCCTACCGTTTATTCGCAACTTTCTCCTTTACATCGGGTAAAATCAGGAACTTCATAAGAAATTGTGCTCGTACAGCTACTAGATATAATAATTCCACCATAACACCATATTTAGCACAGGTTTTGTGTGAAGAGAGAATCCGATGTCGGGAAAGAACTTATAAACTTTTTAAATCAATAACTGAACTGCAAAGCATAAACACAGATTATTATTATTACATGTATTATCTATGATACTATCCACTCATACTTTATTATGGTTACACCAACATTCGATATATAGTGGTTCCTTTATGAATAGTATTATTATTTTACATTTTATGTACGTATATATTTATAACAGAGGCTAGATTGTTGCAATATGCACAGAAACGCTGGAAATTCCATTCTGTGCGGTTCTTATTGCCCCGAATAAAGTAATTATTACACTATCAAAATTGAGTAACTTTTCTTTTAATATATGGTATAAGAGAAAATTATTGAAAAACGAAAAAAAAGCAACTCACGGTTTCTGTTCTACTTTACTCCGTGACCTGGAACGCCGATGTCGGTGACGTGAACGTGAATGCCGATCCTTTTCAATAGAAGACCGATCAGATGATGAATGATGACGGCGCCGACGGTGACGTGATGGTTCTGGTGAACGCGAAGAACTACTGTCATCTCGACGAGATCGACTGGTTTTCTTATCCTAAAAATTTCACAGAAATTTTTTTTTAAAACCATTAACACCTGATAAAGAAATATATAATGCCATTGTGTATGATGAAAGTATGATAAAAAGAATAAAACTCAAACTGCGTACAATGATGACTGCAACTATGACGTTAATCGTCTTCTATATCAGTAAATATAAACCCATTACGACGAAAAGACATAACCATAAGATGTCTGCATTGCAGAACAGTTCATCGTAATAATAAAGTTTAACCCTGCTCACTTATAAATGTATGCATATGGTCCGGAGGGGGTTCGATCCCCAACCGACGCACTCTCCTAAAGCTCGCTAAGTCGATAGTAAGACCGGCAAAGAGGGAAGGTTGTGAGTGGGACTGTTAACTTCACTCCGTAAAAACAAAACCACTGGTAACCGGACTTTAAAGTTGAAGCCTGAAACTCTATGTTCCACTCGGAATCTAAAGGGATCAGAAATCCCTCTTGACGCCACATCATAATAGTACCCAGACTTTAAATGGCAGGATGCAAAACAATACAGAAGGATTAGCAAGACCAAGGGAGAAAACTCCAGTAGTAACAAAAAAGACTAGGATATATAAAACCAAAACACCATGAGAAACAAATTATTCATTATTATATCCTTTAATACCTAGAGGAACATGGGCTTCAGCTGCGCGTCTCCATTGCCTTCGGGTTTTCTTCCAACTTTTTCACCCCGCTCCAAGTCTGCCAATACGCTTTCATCTCCTCTTCACATGACCTCCTTCAAGTCACCCTTGCACTGACGACCAACTCGCCGCCTTCCATTCTGTCGGGTTCCACTCGAGCAATGGCTTGTCTAGTGGTGTCACTTGATAGTTTCCTGAGCGTATGGCCAATCCATCTCCATTTCTTCCTGCCTATTTGTTTCATAATCAGTGCTTCTGAGTTGGTTGGCTGTAAGAGATCCCTGTTACTGATCTTTTCTGGCCATCTGATCTTGAGTATTGAGCGAAGACAACTGTTAATGAAGGTCTGTAGTTTGCTTAAGATGCTCTCTATGACGCGCTGGCCAAATCTCTGATCCGTATAGTAGCACTGACTTTACATTGGAGTTGAAAATCCGGATCTTATTTTTGATGCTGAGTGATGTTAACCTCCACACAGACTTAAGGGTAATGAAAGCCTATCTTGCTTTTCTGACTCTGGCTTTTGATATCCTCGTCAGTTCCGGACGCCTGTAGTTGAAAAGATGCTTCCCAGGTAGGTGAAGGAGGTTGTTTCTTTCAGGTTCCTTCCATTTATGCTGGCTGATTGTTGTCTGTTGTTGTTGGTATTGGCCAGGAATCATCACCTCTGTTTTATTTATGCTCACCTGAAGTCTTATGTTTGATGCTTCTTCTGCCAGCTTGATACTTTTCATTTGCATATCTTCCAGTTTGTGGGAAATCAGACATATTTCATCATCGGCGAAGTTCAGATTCTCAACGTTTTTGTGTGATTTCATACATTTATTCCCCTTAATGAATTTGAACAAAGCAAGAACTACAGTTTTAGCAGAATAATGTGGTACCATCATTTATTTCGTTGGCTTCTCATCAGCTGCTTACAGCCTAAATAAATTATGAGGTTTAAGTACAGACATGTTTCAACATACTTGCAAATTTTACATGTTGTCAGTTGACAGAAAATTCCACAATTTGTAAACAGTGCTCAGAAGTTTGCGCTTATATAGTTTTCACACAGGCAGTTCAGGTTAAAACAAAATAAATGTATGCAGAAAATGGTAAGAGAGTTACGTAATAAAGATGAGATATGCGTTAGATGCATAGTGACTAGTAAGTTAGGTAACAATGAACTGAGTTGAGCTCTAATCATAGAAACAAGAGACAAACAAAATTACAGATTATAGAAAGGGAGGGTGAGAATAGAGACAAAGATTACGTAATCAGATGAGAGAAAAAAAGCATCCAGTTACCAAGGCAAGGAAAGACTAATAACTGCTTCTTTCTGAACACATAGATCAGGTTTCAAGCGTTTGATAGAAATCGCTTCAGCAAACTTAAGGAGAATTGAGCTCTTTTGCCTATTGATAATTTTGAACGACTTTTCGACGTCCACCTCATGACCCGTGTCGAGGAGATGCCTGGCGATGGCACTGTTTAGAGCATTTGTTCCCTTTAGACGTAAGCTTTTTGGTACGTGTTCAGAAAATCGTAGATATGCCCTTCTTTCTGTTCTTCCAATGTAACTGCTCCCGCAGATACACGTAAATTTGTATATACAGTTGGAGGTAACATGAGAAGGATATCTATCGATTTTTGATTGCACCAAAGAGCAAGTTGTTCGATAGATGGGAACGAGCTTGGCTGCAGGATAGGCTATGGCTAGTGATGTACTCAGCCTTCTGTTGATCATCGCTGCAATGTTTTCACCTTTATAGTCAAGCTGAACGTAGACTGGCTTTTTACCCACTGTGGTTTGTTTTACATTTGTGACTTCAGATCTTCCATACTTGTTGATGAACTTTTGAGGATACCCATTTCTCTTCAATATCTTTTCAAGGAACACCAACTCCTCCTCTAGTTTCTCTATAGAGCATATTCTCCTCGCTCTATAGTACAGAGTCTTGACTAGACCCCGTTTAAAGCTATTTGGACAAAAGCTGTTAAAATGCAAGTATTGTCCTTTCCATGTGGGCTTTCGATAAATTGATTTTTGAAGACTACCATCTTCTAGGCGTTCCATGGCGATGTCGAGGAAGTGAAACTTTCCGTCACTTTCATGTTCCATAGTGAAATCAATATTGGCGTGTGCACCATTGAATAATCTTAGTAAGTGTGAGGCATGGCTTTCATTTTCGCACACTATAAATGTGTCATCTACATAACGACAGTAGGAAGATGTTTCGTCAATTGCATGTTTCAACTTTGTTCTTTCGAGGTTTGACATGAATATATCTGCTAGAACAGGGCTGAGTGGACTGCCCATAGCTACACCATCTATTTGGCGGTAAAATGTGTTGTCAAATTGGAATTGCACATCCATGGTACACATAAGCAGTAGGCGTTTGAATTCCGATTCTGGGAGTGGGAGAAGATCGGACTGCTGACAAATGATCTCAACAGTTTCATTGATTGGAATCATTGTGAATAGGGAGGTTACATCAAATGACACCATGAATTTATTTAGAACGTTCATGTGGTTCACACTTTCAGAGAAATGAAATGAGTCTTTCGCCGTGTGCACGCCTAGCCGTTGACGAATAGGTTCCAACTTCTCCGCAAGCCAACGTGCCACCTTATGTTGGGGCGAGTTGATCATCGAAAGTATGGGTCTCAGGGGGACTTGTTCTTTGTGTGTCTTCGGAACGCCATACATGTGTGGCAAGCGGGACCCTCGGGGTTTCAAGTCATTGTACGTGTTGTTGTCAATCAATTTCTTCTTTAGGAGATCTCTCAAGGCGTTTGTGATACGTTTTTCGACGGCATCTGTCTTATCTTTCTGGCAACTGTCAACTTTAAACCTCAACGGGTCATTTAACACAGCTTTCATCTTTGCGATGTAGTCCTCTTTGTCCATCAGCACCACACCTGAGCCTTTGTCAGGTCTCAATATAACAATTTTGTCATTATTCTTGAGAGCTTTCAATGCTCTTAGATGCTCTTCAGAAAGGACTTTGGAATATGACGTTGGAGAAATGAGGTATTGATTTGCAACGTCGACGAGCTTCGATTTGAACCAGCTCCTCTTGTCATCATCAACTGGAGTGAGGTCACTCAACTGGTAGAATAAGTTTTCGAATTGAACTGCGACATCAGTTCTTTCGACAAACTTATTTGGGATGTGAAAGTTAAATCCAAGAGAAAGTGCTTCCATTTCTATGCGATTTAACTTCAGACTCGACAGATTACAGATAAATTCCTCAGGATTTTCTGGGAAAACTTCACACAATTTCTCCTTTGTCAGGGATTTTGAGAGAGTTTTGTAAAATTCTTCACATGTTTTCTGTTGAAGTCCTTGGATGAAATTGATGAATTTGATGCGACATACTATACTCAAACTATTGACGACACCATCGAAAGATCGGGCTTCAGTTCTCAATTTAGAAATCAGAGATTCTGTTGATTCAATATGTGATTTTGTAATGCGTCGAAGATTCTTGAGAGATGGGGGTAATTTGCAAGAACGCAATGACTTCATGAGATGACGAGGAAAGCAGTGAGACCGCAAGCAATCATGATAAAACTTCAATCGAGTCACCTCTCTTGATATTCTGCAACGAATTGTCACCAACCGATCCAGTGACTTAAAAGATTCTCTGGGGAGGCGTTTTTTCAGAAATTTCATACATTTATTCCCCTTAATGAATTTGAACAAAGCAAGAACTACAGTTTTAGCAGAATAATGTGGTACCATCATTTATTTCGTTGGCTTCTCATCAGCTGCTTACAGCCTAAATAAATTTTACATGTTGTCAGTTGACAGAAAATTCCACAAATTGTGGAATTTTCTGTCAACTGACAACATGTAAAATTTATTTAGGCTGTAAGCAGCTGATGAGAAGCCAACGAAATAAATGATGGTACCACATTATTCTGCTAAAACTGTAGTTCTTGCTTTGTTCAAATTCATTAAGGGGAATAAATGTATGAAATTTCTGAAAAAACGCCTCCCCAGAGAATCTTTTAAGTCACTGGATCGGTTGGTGACAATTCGTTGCAGAATATCAAGAGAGGTGACTCGATTGAAGTTTTATCATGATTGCTTGCGGTCTCACTGCTTTCCTCGTCATCTCATGAAGTCATTGCGTTCTTGCAAATTACCCCCATCTCTCAAGAATCTTCGACGCATTACAAAATCACATATTGAATCAACAGAATCTCTGATTTCTAAATTGAGAACTGAAGCCCGATCTTTCGATGGTGTCGTCAATAGTTTGAGTATAGTATGTCGCATCAAATTCATCAATTTCATCCAAGGACTTCAACAGAAAACATGTGAAGAATTTTACAAAACTCTCTCAAAATCCCTGACAAAGGAGAAATTGTGTGAAGTTTTCCCAGAAAATCCTGAGGAATTTATCTGTAATCTGTCGAGTCTGAAGTTAAATCGCATAGAAATGGAAGCACTTTCTCTTGGATTTAACTTTCACATCCCAAATAAGTTTGTCGAAAGAACTGATGTCGCAGTTCAATTCGAAAACTTATTCTACCAGTTGAGTGACCTCACTCCAGTTGATGATGACAAGAGGAGCTGGTTCAAATCGAAGCTCGTCGACGTTGCAAATCAATACCTCATTTCTCCAACGTCATATTCCAAAGTCCTTTCTGAAGAGCATCTAAGAGCATTGAAAGCTCTCAAGAATAATGACAAAATTGTTATATTGAGACCTGACAAAGGCTCAGGTGTGGTGCTGATGGACAAAGAGGACTACATCGCAAAGATGAAAGCTGTGTTAAATGACCCGTTGAGGTTTAAAGTTGACAGTTGCCAGAAAGATAAGACAGATGCCGTCGAAAAACGTATCACAAACGCCTTGAGAGATCTCCTAAAGAAGAAATTGATTGACAACAACACGTACAATGACTTGAAACCCCGAGGGTCCCGCTTGCCACACATGTATGGCGTTCCGAAGACACACAAAGAACAAGTCCCCCTGAGACCCATACTTTCGATGATCAACTCGCCCCAACATAAGGTGGCACGTTGGCTTGCGGAGAAGTTGGAACCTATTCGTCAACGGCTAGGCGTGCACACGGCGAAAGACTCATTTCATTTCTCTGAAAGTGTGAACCACATGAACGTTCTAAATAAATTCATGGTGTCATTTGATGTAACCTCCCTATTCACAATGATTCCAATCAATGAAACTATTGAGATCATTTGTCAGCAGTCCGATCTTCTCCCACTCCCAGAATCGGAATTCAAACGCCTACTGCTTATGTGTACCATGGATGTGCAATTCCAATTTGACAACACATTTTACCGCCAAATAGATGGTGTAGCTATGGGCAGTCCACTCAGCCCTGTTCTAGCAGATATATTCATGTCAAACCTCGAAAGAACAAAGTTGAAACATGCAATTGACGAAACATCTTCCTACTGTCGTTATGTAGATGACACATTTATAGTGTGCGAAAATGAAAGCCATGCCTCACACTTACTAAGATTATTCAATGGTGCACACGCCAATATTGATTTCACTATGGAACATGAAAGTGACGGAAAGTTTCACTTCCTCGACATCGCCATGGAACGCCTAGAAGATGGTAGTCTTCAAAAGTCAATTTATCGAAAGCCCACATGGAAAGGACAATACTTGCATTTTAACAGCTTTTGTCCAAATAGCTTTAAACGGGGTCTAGTCAAGACTCTGTACTATAGAGCGAGGAGAATATGCTCTATAGAGAAACTAGAGGAGGAGTTGGTGTTCCTTGAAAAGATATTGAAGAGAAATGGGTATCCTCAAAAGTTCATCAACAAGTATGGAAGATCTGAAGTCACAAATGTAAAACAAACCACAGTGGGTAAAAAGCCAGTCTACGTTCAGCTTGACTATAAAGGTGAAAACATTGCAGCGATGATCAACAGAAGGCTGAGTACATCACTAGCCATAGCCTATCCTGCAGCCAAGCTCGTTCCCATCTATCGAACAACTTGCTCTTTGGTGCAATCAAAAATCGATAGATATCCTTCTCATGTTACCTCCAACTGTATATACAAATTTACGTGTATCTGCGGGAGCAGTTACATTGGAAGAACAGAAAGAAGGGCATATCTACGATTTTCTGAACACGTACCAAAAAGCTTACGTCTAAAGGGAACAAATGCTCTAAACAGTGCCATCGCCAGGCATCTCCTCGACACGGGTCATGAGGTGGACGTCGAAAAGTCGTTCAAAATTATCAATAGGCAAAAGAGCTCAATTCTCCTTAAGTTTGCTGAAGCGATTTCTATCAAACGCTTGAAACCTGATCTATGTGTTCAGAAAGAAGCAGTTATTAGTCTTTCCTTGCCTTGGTAACTGGATGCTTTTTTTCTCTCATCTGATTACGTAATCTTTGTCTCTATTCTCACCCTCCCTTTTATAATCTGTAATTTTGTTTGTCTCTTGTTTCTATGATTAGAGCTCAACTCAGTTCATTGTTACCTAACTTACTAGTCACTATGCATCTAACGCATATCTCATCTTTATTACGTAACTCTCTTACCATTTTCTGCATACATTTATTTTGTTTTAACCTGAACTGCCTGTGTGAAAACTATATAAGCGCAAACTTCTGAGCACTGTTTACAAATTGTGGAATTTTCTGTCAACTGACAACATGTAAAATTTGCAAGTATGTTGAAACATGTCTGTACTTAAACCTCATAATTTATTTAGGCTGTAAGCAGCTGATGAGAAGCCAACGAAATAAATGATGGTACCACATTATTCTGCTAAAACTGTAGTTTTTGTGTGAGTGCATTTTACACCTGTTTTCTCATTGCCCGTTATCTGTCACATAATCTAATCTATTGCAATCACGAAGATCATTGGTGATAGTCGACAGCCTTGCCTCACTCCCGTCCTCACTTCGAAGGCTTCCGTAAGTTTCCTGTTTTGGATTACTCGGCATACAGCATTGTCGTATAACTGTTGGGTGAGATGTATAATCGTCGATGGGACCCCGTAGTAGCGAAGTAGTTGCCAAATCACCTCTCGATCGACGCTGTCGAAGAAAGAACTAGCTGAATATATAAAAAGTCGAAGGAGATAATATCACCTCAGTAGACTTCTACGTAGCTATCATTAGGCCCCAGGTGTTTATACATAGTCACTGGAAAATTAAAAGTCATAGGTCAATTGATTAGTGCATTCTACTTCGTATCTCTGAAATATTTGCGACCCAATGACCGACGCTAATTTACAAACATTAACGACATAGTTCGACTAGGTACTTGCGCATTTCATATACCTTATCAATACACCAGGTGAATAGTATAAAGACAAAGAAGACTGAAATGAGGGAGAAAATGAATGCAACTGCGTCACCGTAATCGATAATGTACCCCACCATATAAGCTCTGAAAACACAGATTTCAGTGGCCAACTGGATGGAATCCAGCCAGTAGTCGTATATTTGACACCAAGAGTCAATGACTTTGCGGGTTGATAACAGACATTGATTTAATCACTTGTCATTTCGAGGAGCTATCAACTAATAAGTTGGGTGTAAAGAAAGTCACTCATCAATATCACCAAAGACCGTCACGTTCTTTCGCGAATCAGAATTTCGGACAAATGGTAGAATAATGTGTGAGACTGAAAACCTAGAGGTCTTTGTACCGGCTTGTGAAGGTTGAAAAATCACAAACCATAGGGACATAAGTGGTTCTTGTAGTTTTGTCTGCATGAGAAAATCATACAGGCCGTTAGACAAGTTGGGATGCACAACCTTAAGACTAAGACCCTTTACTTCTATTTATTTATCAAGAGCATAAAATTTCATAGTTTGTGGGGGGGGGGCTGGAACCCCCTAAGCTCTTCTTTTCACAGTAGAGAGAAGTCACACTGACTCGCTTAACGTTCCTTCTGTAGACCAGGTACTTTTCACATGTTTCAGATTCACCAACTACCTAGTGAGCTCCATAAAACCCCTATCATAATCAACATTTACTCACATGCAATGCACATTAACGGGAATTGAGTGATTTATATAGCACTTCAAACAGGCTACTGAAGGCTTTTTTACCAACAGCTACCTACCTTCACTCCATGCCGAAGATCAGAAGGTCGGCGGCCAGGAAGGATTAGTAACAAGCAACTCTAGCGAAAAACTCAACCAACCGACCAGCTACCACGCAACAATTAGAGATGGATCGGACACACGCTGACACCACGCATACTCTCAAGTGGAACCTGAGCGGGAGAAGACAAGTTGGGCCGGCGGAGATCATGTTAGGAAGAGGAAATGAAAGCACTTACAGGAACGGTCTGAAAACGATTCCAGAGAACAAGGTGAAACGCGGAGGGGTGCTGTTCCACCAATCAGAGCCCAAGGGAATAATAATGTTCCACAATGTTTACAGTTACAGTATGTCAAAAAGGAATTCTTTACAATGGTACACATATATACACCGACGCAATATTAGGACAGTTTTGTCACTCATTCATATTGATACATCATAATTAAAGTACACGTTGTTACAATAGTCAGTAAGAGAGAGAGTACAATTCGATTTAAGAAGGCAAAAACTTACAGGCTTTTCACGACTTTCTTTAGCAGGTACACGTGAACGAGGCGACGACGGAGATGATGTACGTGAAACAGAACGATTACGAGTAGAAGAAACTACACAAAAGGCAAAAATATTTCAGATAAGTGAATTTCAATAGTAGATAAACTATAGGACAATGCATAAACGTATAATCTATGCTTGCTCTTTAATAGGTATCTTTCGTGCAGTAGACACAGAAATGATGAATTCACTACTATTCTGCCTTGGTTTGAACCCCCTTATCCGAAGCATATTTTCGATTTATCAGGATATGAGGGCTCAGAGTGAAGTGAGAAGATGAAGTACTCAAAAAACTAGGAAGAACTTACTGCAAGCTGAAGGCATAAGCCGAATAGCTACAATATCTTGAATTCGCTTCAACTATAAAACTGTGAAAAAACTGCAGGAAATACCCTATGAGTAGGCCCAACTAACTTAAGCACTTTGGATTTAGAGACAATCAACAAAATGACTTGTGATTTTCGCACAAGTAATCCAAAAGTCAATAGTGGATTCTCTCATACTATTGGAGAACGTACTGATATACTACTCTACTTACTTCGAAAATGAGAATTTTGCGACAGTAAAAAATGAGAATTGTTTTTCAACCTGTTTACCACGCTTTGGTGTTTGAAACTATGCGCACTGGGTTCCAGCCTCAGTGGGAACACTATCACTCACACTGGGGAATGCAGGTACATCCAGCTAGCAGACGAGTCCCAAAATGGGACGAAATGCGCATCAAGCTGGATTCCACTGCTAATCACCATCGACCAAATTACTGTTTATCCCTTGTTAAAACAACATAGCATCTTGAAAGTTAGCGGAGATATCAAGTAAAAGTGGCATTTATTGGTAAGCTTAAGGGTGACCCATTTGCTATAACCACAACACAGAAATGTTTCACAGCGTAGCAGATCACCTGATTTATAAACAGCTGTAAGTATCCAAAGATAAGATTACCTGGGAATTATGAAAACGCTTTACAGAGCTGACCAGTGCTCTAAAACTTAAAATAATCCAGCTTCAAGTTATTTATATATTGCTTACATGAAGCACCTGTACTGTGACAAATTTAATAGTGAAGGATTCTGAGAAACACGAGACATAATTTACGCCTAGAGAATACAATTACAACTTTCTTTAACTGCCCTGACAGCTTTCAATGAAGCATGTCGAAAAAGATGTGTAGAACCATTTCTAAAGGATTTAAGATGAACAATCATCATCTAATAACTTCAAGACTGTGGAATGGCTTTATAACTTACACGTTATAGTGAATGCAGAAAAATCCTTAATAAGTTCAAAATTAGGATCAGTGGGACGACAACCCCGTATTCTGTGAACTCAATTAACCAGAAAAGATTTTTAATGTATCAGCATAAGAGTCAAACTTACTGCGTGAAGGCTGGTGATACTAAACAGTTTCACTCGAACAACCAGCAGAGTAGCAAGGCTACTTTTCCGTTGTGGAGAGAATGAGTTAGAGAAGGTCGATCCTGAAAGTTGTACTTCTCGAATCATCCTGTGGCGGTTCTTACCCGGCCTCGACCAACTGCCCTCCCCTAGTTTTGCCGTCACACACAATACTAATGCTTTTGCTGTTTTTCTACAGGGAGGACAGCGGGGAAATAATAACTGTACACACACGCAGCCCTTCTTGTCATCTAAGTATTTAACATAAGCAATCAAAAATTGACTTTAGAGCCGAGTAATTCTTTGGTAACAAATAAGTCAAGCAATTTAAAATGTACAATGAAAGGTAATTGTATTAATAACTCGGAATACAGTTGATGAAGAAGTGGACTTCACTCCTGAGGTTAGTAAGAACAAACAGACGCAAAAGATTTTAAGAACCCAACCTTCCATAATTCTGTTTATAAATCCCTAAACACTTAAGATGGAGCAGTTCAGGGGCTTCCTAATTTTGTCCAATATGAAGAATGGACTACCAACTGTAGCAGATCTTTATTTATAAAATATAATGCAATCCGTCAATGACATTCAGGTGTGATAAACTCAAAAGAACCATTTAGTTTATCAGATTAGATGAAATACCGTTTGCATCATTAAAGAACATGATAACCACATTCCTAAACTACTTACAGCTACAAATCTATAAAAAAAAAGGCATGTACACCACACAAAAAGCATCCCATCAACATAGAGAAACAATTACTGCACCAGATGCAGCATACCTTTCAATTCTGCAGCTTCTGACATTCCATTACTTTTTGTAGGTGGAATACGCAGTTGACTATCTGTTTGTTCCATAGGCGGTGGATTTACTAATCGATTTGTTCCTCTTACAATTAACTCATCCTCTCTACGTTTCATTTCATGTTGAACTTGCTTTTCTTCTTCCTGAAGGGGAAAAAACGAAAACTATTCAAGGAAACAACAACGTGGGTTTATTCATGTACTTTAAATAGGTGACACAAATGTAGGCAGATTTAAAAATGAATGTGAAAACGGCTGGGAAAAAGCTCTAAACTGTTTGTAAGTGATCAAATCAGAACTGGCGTAAGTCTTTAGGCAACAGCAGATACTGAAAGATACTTGAAAATAAGTTATCATTATGTAGGTACGGTATGTGCCTTGTGCTAAGTGCAAAGCACTGTTGCAAGACTGACAGGAGTCTGAACCTGCACTCATCCTTGCAGGTGAACCGCTTGAAGTTGTCAACAAGGTTGTGTATCTTCTAACAGTATACTGACAGCCAGAGTAGCATACGTCAATTTGGCCAACTCTGGCGCCGCCGCGAAGTCAGCCTGGTTATTAAAAGTCAGACTTATGATGGGAATCCCAGCCCCTCTAAGCCGATGGTGTGCCGCGACTCTGAGTATTCGATCATCGCTGCTAACGTAGAATTGCTTGCACCCGATAGTACCATCGCGTAAGTAATTCTTAGGTCCGAGAGTATGTGTTTAGATACGGTGGGCATCACCATTTATCGTATCCTGATCTGGAAATACCAGCTTCAGTGGCTGAACATGTACTACGAATGTCATCCCAGAGGCTTCCGCACCAGTCACTGGGACTCAATGGAAGAAGTGGGAATGGTCAGTCTGTGAAGTGCAGCTGTAGGGTAGAAGACATTTGTGTTAGGTTAGCATCAGTTGGTATATCACGACTACTTGGTTGGGATCCAAGAGATAGTTTGAATCAGTGGCCCAAAAGGTTATCAGACATGGCTGGGAATCGCAATCAGTGGTGAACATGCTGCGGTTACCTCCTTTCTGAGAGTAAAATGAAGTGATGAGTGTTGAATGAAGAGCATGAAGACTGACGCGTTTTTACGCCCTAATAGATAAACTAACTGGTACACCACTAACTAAGAGAATGACTAAATTATGAGAAAGAACATCCTCAAATAGTAATTAATACATCACATGACTAACTCAACCTCAGTCGAAAAAGGAATTCAATATCAGGTGATGCGAAGCTATAGAGTAATACTGACTGGTGTCGAAGTGATCAACAGTAACTGTTTCACAGTGATTTCAGTCAGCTACAAAGCAGATGTGATGGCAGTGCTTCAAGGTAATCAAATTCACCGATGATATCCAGAAAACAATGTCTTTATTAATCTTTTGTCTGACGGGCTATTCAATTTACCAAAACCATTAGCTTATATCTCAAGTATCATTTTGTTGCTTGCAACAATGTAGAAAACCACAAAATTCAACTACTTCACAAAATTTTCCTTTAAAACTTGAATAAATAAGTCACAGCTACGTTACTCTGAAGATAATCGCTCGTTTTAAACTGGGGATTGGTCAATACTTCAGTAAAGGTAATCATCAATTCCTTTTACATCACACTAAACAGTACTAAATAACACTTCATCCTACCAACCCTCACAAAATATCTTGGACACTGCTTCACAACATCCATTTTACGCCTTGTTACTAACATTAATGCTAACCATGGCTAATACTAACTCGTATGCCGAGAATGTGTTTACTTGACTTGTAAATTTAAAGGATCAGTCTTTCTAGCTGTTTTCAGATTAGTGGCATTTTAACCTGACTTACTCAATCGACCTAAAAACCAGCATAAAACGCTGACTCGGACATCAGGTTTGCTGATGTAGAAGCCTTCGAATGATATTGTTTTCAACAAACTTAGCACAGTAATGTCAATAAGAAACAGAAAAAATTGACAAAGTAAACAGCCATGCATCGGCATGGAATGCATGATCAAAGTATACGTCCCCTAGAATTACTATCCATTGTAGAAGGGATGAGAAGAGACAGACAGTGTGGTTACCATGGATGCCGATTTCTGAGTCAAATACAGTCCGATGTAAAGCTGTAAACCCCACTATTGAATCACAGTGGAACGATACGTGCTATATCAAGAGTATTTAGTCCGGAGTGTTTTTTTGAGTTTACTATTGAAGCGAAACTTTGGAAATAGAACCTCCTTATGGGTTGTTAAACAACAGAAATAAATTGCAGCAACCCCCAGCAGAATAAATCACGCTAAGGACGTTCTTAACAGATGCTTAACGTTAGATTAACATGATATTTTAGCAAGGACATTGAGACTTCGGAGTGGGTGGTGTGTACAGAGTGAAACCGAAATGCACATAAATAGCTTAAAAGTTTATCACATCTTAAAAATTATTACCTGACGCTTTGCTATCTCCTCTTTCTTTGCTTCAAGAAACGCTGCTGGAACGCCATCTGGTGTCTGCATAGCTGATAACAAAAGATCCCATAATTCCGACAAAAATATCCTAGCATTTTTGCCATTTAGAAATCCTGTTATATTGATCTGGATTTCCTTGGGATCTGGATGCTAGAAAAGGTAGGAAACAACATGTAAGTAGGAAAAGGAAATGGTGATTACATTGAATACAATAATGATAATTAAGTATAAATGGAATAATTCTTCACACAAGCTCAAAAGTGTACCGGCAGCGCACTCAGTGCGTCGCAGGAGACCTGAGTTCCACCGTTGTTTGTCGATGAACATCCCAAAAGACCTGAAAATTTAATCGAAATCAATTTTAAAATTGGAAAACAAAAGTATGTATAAAAGTGAACTTTTAAAAAATGGAATTAAAGCTTAAAAATAAAGACAATAAATGTTTTAAAAAACTAGAAAAATACCTTAAGATGTTTTCCGAAGCCTAAACTACTAACTAAGTCTGGCCTTTATTTATGAGTAGTTTAGCATGAATATTATACTATAGTAAAAATACGAGAACAAATACATTCTCGAAGAAATATTGCATGTTTCGCTATTTCGAACTAGAAAAGCCCTCCCAAAATGTTCACATGATTATTTTTGACACAATATGGTAATTCAGAAATCACTACAGGGACTCTAAACAATAATTCTTTTACAAGTATTGGCATTGTAGGGATTTTTGTTTGATTGTATGTTGGATTTAATCATGAGCTGACATCAGTTAGAGAACCAGTGGCTCAATGATCTACGAGCTCGCCTTGTAACCAGAAGGTCCTGGGTTCGAATCCCGGTGGGTGCGTACTGCTGAGTCCCAAACTAGGACGAAACAGCTGTCCAGTACTCCCAGGTTTTTCAGTGGGATGTCAGCTCATGATTAAATCTTCCATACAATAATTCTTTTAGTCAAAAATACTGTCGTGCGTAAAGCAAGAATAACAATATTGCAAACAGAATCAACAGTCACGTACACCGTTATACCTCACACACGCGGAAATCACATTGTTAGTAAAAATGGAAACTGTCAAGTCACATAACTAAGCAGAATGTCTAAGGATAAACTCCTGAAATTATTGACCAGGTAATGAAGCCAGATGAACTTCAGGCTTATACTTGAATTCGTTTGGTTCACAAATCCGCACAGAATAATCAAAACACCTTGAAGGAGAAGTACACTGATGATGAAAATAAGGCTAAAGTGAATCTGTGCTGATTAACGTTTCCGGTGGATTACAGAACAAGAAACAAACTGACCTGTAGTTCCATATCTCCAAAAGGTTGACCTGGAAAGGTTACATAACTTTCGCAACAAAAGAGTAGAGGGTCAGTTACCACAGCCTGTTAAATATAACTGCCAAAGTCCTGGCCTAACAGTCTTTACAAGATTACAAGCCATTAAATTGATGAGAGACTCACGATGCAACTTAGGAAGGCCAAAGTCCCTTCTTAGCGTTCGTTGGGCAATGACAACTAGTGATTATCTGTACTTATGATGACAACATTCTACGCTTACTAATGAGAAAACCAATCCAGATAGTGCGGTCGTTATGTGACTGATAAGTCATACTTGAGGTGAGGCTTACCCAAAGCAGGGAAAAGGGTGTAAGGTTGGAAGTTTTGACTGCAGATGACTTCGCTGCATTGGTGGTCTTACAAAAAAGACGGTAACACCAAGGTTAGGCGTCGAGTGCACCTTAAGAAAGGGGATTTAGGGAGGGGGCAAGGTGAATTTCAAGTGCTGATCGAGGTAGCTTTTAAGCCGTAGTGTTAGCTGAGATGGGATCAGTCAAGATAACGCCAAATAAAAATACATCAAGAAATGACACCAATATCTGAAGTCACTATGGTCCAAACCGAAGTCAGTAATCCACCCGCCTGTCACATAACCGTAGGCTAGTAGCGGCATAGACGCGCCTGCTTCATAATACTTTAAAAATTTGGACTTTCGTAGTGACTTAACCATATCCCTACTCTAAGCAAATCACCTGCTGTCATATTTTATTACCTAGTAGTACAAAAAGCGCATCTTGTGCCAGGTCCCCTTGCACATCATTGGCTTATACAAATCAGTCACGTTTTTAAAACAATCGACTAAAATACGCAGTATACCGGTGAATAAGAATACTGGTAATTAGCACCATGTGTAATCACTAACTTGTATGTGGAAGCAGGTCCCACACTTGTACACGAACTAATGTCAGGTTTTAAACAGTAACAGCACACATTTAATGAAACGGGTGTGAGGTGAACCAGGAATTAAGGATTTTCTCAGAGAATACAGTTTGATTTTGCAATCTGTAATCCTGCAAGAAGTTGTCAGATACAATTTCGTTAATTTAGCACGTATTTCTTAATTCTGATATTTCTTAGACAGCTGCTGATCCACCTGGTTATTTCAAAGTCATTCGCCTGCATTAGCATTCATTATGCTCAAATCTTCCATACGGAATTACAATGACTGTATATTCATAGTTCTTATATTACATCAATGCACCCTGAAACAAACTAAACGAAGCTTGATCAGAACAGCTGACAATTTTATGCAACGATAATAACATCCAGATTTTAAAATGCTTAGTAAGTAATTGTGCTCATTTAACTACTTCTAACACGAGTTGATTGGTGGTGCAAACACCACTTTTTGTGTCATATCCAAGAGTTAACCACTGGATTAAAAATCGATATTCGATAGATCGATATTCCAGGATACTAATGTGAACTAGAAGAATAGACTAATAAAGTCACAGTTTGGAGGCTTTCAAATATCCAAACTGATCCCTAATACGTAGTGATACAGAGGTGACACTCTAAACGTGTGAATTCATGACATCTGGGGTGCTGTGAACACGCGAAATCAGGTGTATCCTAGCACATTAACGCGCGCTGGAAGTTTCATTACTTCAGCATAAAGATTCTTATGACCTGTCACACCACACACGTTAGATGACCAGTGTTATAACCTAATATCAAAATGCTCATAACTTACAAGATCCTCCAGCTGGTTGAAAATATAATCGCACACTACTTCATCCTCAAAATTAAGGAGTTCAGTGATGCGCTTAACAATCCAAGGTCTTATAGACTCAAGATTAATCTTTGACATGTCAACCTAAAAGATAAAATACAAGAACAATCTTTACTTTTTGTGAGAGATTCTCCCCAAACTTCATCGTCTTCATCAGCTTTTTCTTTTTGTCTGCGAACCTAGCATCTTGTTCTGCACTAGTTCCCTATAGACAGTGACGAATAAGGAAGAAATTCACCACAAACCTTAAAAAAACCTGCGTCAGTCATTCTTATTTGAACGAATGGAGGGGAATGTGCTACGTTCTGTTCAGGAAATAAAACAAATTTATTCAATTACCAATTTCTCAGATTTTAGGTTTGGTGATTCTTAGGGGAGCAAAGAGGCCTATAATCCCATGTAAATCTTTTCTAATAGTTATCTACTTTCGATAAACCCCTTTATGGAACGAGCCCAGTGGCGCCACACAAACCACTTCTTCTGGCAGCTGGTTCCAAGAGTTAACCATTCTGTGGGACAGCAAGTACTCCACAATAAGAAAGTTCTTTCTTGACTTATGGATTCTTCAGCTATGTTCCCGGAGATTTTCCTGGCTTCTAGAAGAGAAAAGAGAAGGTAGACGACGCCTTACAATTTCAGACGTCATGATTAAATCTCCCTTTCTACAATATAATAATGAGGAGGGATTTGAATTGTCAAGCCTCTTCCTATATGACAGAATAGTCATACCAGCAGCCATATATTTAACCTTCCACTGGATCCTTCCTAGAATACATGAGTCCGTTATGAGGCAAGGACTTGCTGAGTGGATGCAGTTTTCAAGTTTTAGCTTCAAACTTATAAATAATGTGGCAAACATTTCACTGGCAGTTATGGTAAGGGCCCCAATTGTTTTCCATAAAGATCTAAAGCTTAAACCTGCAGTGTGCTGTGGATTTCAGGTTATGGCGTACGATGACAACTAGATTCGTGTGCCTTTGAATAGAAAGGAGTGTCATTCGCTGTATGTCTTTTACAGCGTTACTTGCGTGACGAATATCTATGGTTCCGCTCACGGCCACATTAATAGGAGGAACCCATTCCTTAGACCAATCCAACAGATTTTCCGTATCTCCTTGCAATATAAGCGTGTTACTGTTATCCTTAAGGTTTCCCTAAAATTTTAGTTTATCAACATGAAGAACCGTAGATTTGGGGAGCCCAAGTAATTCGATGATAAGCGGGATACGTAACAGGGAGCCGATAACAGCAGCTTGTGAGCACTTTACGTAAATTAGTGCAGGAAGAGAGTCCCTAATTGATCCTGACCCAATGTCCCCAGACTACAAGTAACTCCCGGATCAAGTCTCTGGGGTCACCCAGACTTCACGAACATTGCAATTTCACAAGGAGATTAGTGCGGGGTGTTTGACTGAAACCATCGCTGAAATATAAGGAGACAGGGCTGGTGTAATTCCCATTATTCACGGATTCACCTTACCTTCCGCATGTTGCGGGAAGTCTAATCAGACAGCACAGACTTTCCCTAAAAATGCTCTGTCAGCTTAATAAAAACTTACATTTGTCAAAATATGAAACGAAGAATATCGTTCTTTCGGTGTAATGATCATGGGGGTAGTAGGAATAAACTAAAAGGAGACAGAGAGATAATCCCTGGATCCACTCCAAGAATAAGGGTTCACTAACACAGTCAATGTACTTGCAGGTGAATTCAAGGTTGTTTGCTCATATCCAACTCCCCTATATATTTCGTGGGAGTCATCAATTCATCAGTCATCTTCACATAGTTCGCTGTTCGGTGGGACAAAAAACTTTCAGAAGTATCATCGTGATTTATTTTTATAACATATATCCTTAAACCTTGTGTATAATAACCTTGTTGTTGGTTATATATTGGCGTAAGAATAAGGGATTCTTGAGTCGCCAATCAGTGTTCTGGTTTTCGCTTTGGTTAATACAAAGCGTTTCTGAAAGCCTTCGAGGGACAGCGTGAGGTCCAGCGTAGCGAGGGCTGGACATTGACAGTTTATGAGACTTGACTGACAGTTTCTGATAGTTGTTTAGATAGTTTCCGTTCGTCTTTCCTGGTGCCTACCAGTCTTCTTTTGACAAGTATTATATGGAACTTTTCTGGGTTTTTTGGTCAAGTTCAATGATGCCTGGGTCAAAGAAAGGACGAAGCGTCTTGGAAGCAAGCAAGAAAGTAAGTAATGCTGAGTTGTCTGTTACATGTAATGATATGTATGATGCTTAGCATGATGAGTCTGTTTTTCGTGTTTCACAGTCTAGGGATAATAGGCTTAAATTTGAACCTCGGTGTTTCGACGGAAACCCACCCGACTATCCACAGTTTGTAAAGGAGTTTGAGATCATGCTGAGTAGTTTTTTATTAAGTGATGAATTGAAATTGATGTATTTGATGAGGTATTGCACTGGAGATGCTGCAGGAGCTATACAGTGCTGTAAGCTCATGCCCCCTAATGAGGGATACGCTGAGGCTATGAGTATACTGCGTCAAAGGTTTGGAAGACCTTCGATGATTGTAAGGAACGTATTCGAGGCTGTCAAAGGTAATGGTAGTCAATTACAAGATTATTCCGAGGCAATCTTTGAGTTTTTGGACAATCTGATGACTTAATAATACGTTGATTTCGATGAATTGCATGAGCGATATGAACTCAAGTTCCGTCCTAGAGGTAATAGCGAGACGCCTACCTACTCGACTGCAAAGGAAGTGGGTGAAGATGGAGGTATTGAGCCAAAGTCTGATGATATTCTGAAACTGGTAAAAGAAAGTGTCAATCAAGCTATGAGCAAGTTTGTCAGTATATTGCATCCCACCTCTAGAATATAGCAACCGGAAAGCAAAACGCAATCATTTATGACGAAAGGGTCTCAGAGAAGTGGATATCGAGAAAGCTTTATGGTGTCTAGTAATCCGTATAAACTTAGTGAGTGTAACAGCCTTCGTTGGACATCCCCAACAGATAGGTTACAAGTTGCGAGACAAGCACGGTTGTGTTTTACAAGTTTGCAATAAGTGCGTACAAAAGCGAACTGTGAAGAAGTGACCAGGCTTAGTGGTAAGCTAGATGTGAAGTCAGCGTCATCAAGGTCTGAGTAGGAACTGTGTGACGATAATGGTGCGGTGAAGAAGTCTGTAGTTGCAGCCAGTAAGCCATCGTTGAATAGAGTGTCACAGACGACACCGCAGTTTGATCAGGAGAAGAGACATACAGTTTCAGAGTCTAGTTATGACTCCACAAGTTTACAAGGTATTACTAGTCAGAGTAAAGGCATAAAACCTTTGAGGATTTGTGAGGAGGAACCCAAATTGTCTACTGTTGTTATTAAGGAGTTTGAAAATGAAGTCGACCAGATAGACGACGGTAAAGTGAATATTTGTGACAATGGTCATGATGGAAAACATTTATCTTTGCCTGATCATGATGAAATGAGAGGAATGCCTACTACTACTGAGTTGAACAAAGGTTCTGTGGAACTCGAACGTGAGGAAGAATTGAAGGTAAATGCGGTGGGAGAAGGCATGGTTACTCTTGAAACCGTCAGGGTAAATGATCAGCGTGTAGCCCACCTGTCGACAGATGTTAAAGCTGAACTGGAGCTAATAGTAAAAGACAGCAGTGGTAGTGATCTTGCGGTTAGACAGCCTTCTAAAGGTCGAGAAGCGACAGCTTTTGATGCACCAATCAGTTTGTCGACCGATGTCAGTCAGCCACCGTTGGTGTTGTCATCCACATTAAAGGTGATGTCCATAAAGTCATGTGTCTTGCAGGCGTACTGCTGTAAGTCCTACAACTCTTCAAATGGTAGTGCATCGGTGAGCCCAACGTGCGTAGAGTTTTATTTTGTACATACGTTCATGTTGTATATACTGAATTGTTGTCATCTCTCATCTATCTGTTGGTTAATCTTGTTTGTGTCCGGACATTCTTCAAACTACTATCGTCAACCTGAGAAGAGTTGCAGGTGTACTGGTGTAAGTCCTGCAATTCTTCAAAGGAATTCCATCAAGACATGATCTGCGAGGTTATTTGTACTGTTTGTACATACACGTGGTGTTTCATATCAATTGATGTTTTTTAGATTCGATGTGTTTGCTTGTTGTTTTCGTACCTTGTTGTTATTGCGTAATTTTGTTAAATTGTTCGTCGTGCGCACTTCTGAAGTTGTCTCTAGTCTTATACATCCGCGAATAAATTGACTGATGTTAGGGACAGCAAATGGGTCGTACACGCCGGGGAGGCTAGTGCTCAGAATGACATGTACACGGAGATAAGGAATAGCTGTGGAATCGATGATTGAGAATGAATGTTTCTATTATTATTATTATTTAGGCTGTGGTCCCACATGCCGGGGAGCGAGAGTGTAGACGACTGAGGCTCGCATACGTCACCGTTACTAGAACTGAGGCAGAATGAGTGACAAGCAATCGCAGTGGTAATTGGTAGCGAATAGATAAGGCGATGTGCGAATAGTATCATGAGATGCAGCTGTGGTCACGCTGCGTTCTGCAACAGTCATTCTAGCAAGTGGCGATTGTGTTGCAAGAGGATGTGTCAAGAGGATGCCTTTAACTGAAAGGCGTAGGTCGTCATCGATGTGCGAGATTGTACTGTGGGTATGCCTGTGGTGTGTTGGCTTTTCTGTTTGTTTTCCATTTCAGCTTTGTCCGTGTAACCCAGGTTCTCGCGATGGCATCCAAGTCAACGTGTATTGGTCGTGATGGAGAAAAAGGATGGATCTGTTTTTTGCGGGGGAGTGTCAATGTAGTTGAAGATTGAACGATCAATTCTTGGTTGTTTGCTCAAACCCAACTCCTCCATATTTTTCGCGGGAGTCATCAATTCATCAGTCATCTTCACATCGTTTGCTGTTCGGTGGGATAGAAATCTATCTGTAGGTTATAGGACCCAGTTGACCCAATTAGACAAAATTATATTATTTACAAAATGCCATGCAATGACTTTGAGTTCAGGCACATAGTTCCAACTAGTAGGTCAGAGGTAGTCAGATTGTCAGAGCATGAGGATTTACCTAATGTAAGAATGGTTGACCCCGAGACGATAAGTAATTTAGAAAAAAGCTCAGCAATTGCAATGCATGCGCTAACACACAACCGCGCAATAGGGTGGGAGAGAGTTAAAATTCTAAAAAGTAATCTAGGTAGGTGGAGAGAGATGTTGATTACTGAATCCTTGTTAACCGAGTCTACACCAAACACATGCAATAGGAATGACTCGTCACTCATACTTGAAATATGGAAAATACTATCACCAATCAAATAAAGTG